GTTTAGGGGCCTTACACCTTTTTGTTATTATTTTATTTTTAGTTGGGTTGGGAGAGAAATATTTTTAGGATGAAAAAAACAACTTCGTTTTTTGTCACGCTTAAAGCTGGAATGGAACTCCAATCTTCATCGAGAGAATGTTTTGTCTGACGTAGGCAGGGAATAGAACTCGATTCTTCAACGAGAGTATGTTTTGTCTGACGTAGGCAGGGAATGGAACTCCAATCTTCTACGATGGAATGACATGTGTTTTGTCTGGCTTTGGCAAGGAATTGAATTTTAATTCTCAACCTGTTTTTGTCATCACAGCGATCTAGCCGGACGACTAAAATATGAATTTTAAGACCTTAAACGGACAAAAAACTATGGGCAAACTGAAATTCATTTTTTTGAATAATCACAGTAAAATGTAAAAATATTACTTGGTGCATTTGCAATTTTATGGTATAAAATTTTTTATTGAACAGAAGTAGCATTTAAAAAAAAAACTAATATTCATAATGAACATACACATATTTATACAGCCCGCCAGACAGTGGCGACAGCAATGCCTAAACTTCCCATCTGCTAAAGTTACTTGACAAAACATGAACTTAAGTAACGCACATTTAAGAATTCAAATTTTCGCTACACCCCTTCTCCCCATGATACGTCACTGCATACTTTTTAACTCTTACCAATGAACTATATACGTATATAAGAATGAGCTATGCTGACGTAACGCCAAAGAACCGAAAATATTTACATACTTTCGGATTCGTAAAAGCAGTCATAGTCATTTTCTATTAATTTACGGAAATCGAATAGATTTAAAAGTGGAAAAAAAAGGCTATTTCCGCTTTTATTTTAGCAAAATTTTAAGTATTATTATGTATGTGTAATTTATAATAATATGTTGAATCAAAATAGTTCCTTAGTTGTTACTGTAAATGTATGTGTAATTTATAATTTACAGTAACAACTAAGGAACTATTTTAATCATTTTATCCGAATGTAAAAGTTATGAAAAAATTATTAAGCAAAATATTATCATCTAAGAAGTGCATCTTAATCACATTTATAGCGAAAACCCAAGCATATTTTATTCTTAGTGTGGTTTTAGTGCGTTGTTAACATTGCGAAAAAAATTAGAGTTAATTCGATCTAAATAATTATGCAAATGAGGTCATTGCGAGATTGCCTATTTTGGCTAAAGCTCTAAATTTCGTTGATATTATAGCCGCGTGTGACAAAACTAATCATGTATTTTCCCCTTCTGAGTAGTAAAATTAATAAATATAATATATTGCTTTTTAATTGTTAAAATTTTCTAAAATTAAATACAACTTTGCTATGTATTTTTAAAATTTAATAATTGTTCACTTTTAATTATTTCCAAAAATATTTTTTATGAACTTTATAAAGTAGTAAAAAATTTAACTTTTAAATATACTTTTAATACGAAAATACCGTTTAATGCAGTCAGTACAGTGAAACTACATAATTCAAATAGCATTTACTAATGCACTTATGGCTCATCAAAATAACAAAGCATGTGAAATGAAAAAAAATGTTTTTGCTTAAGTAAAGGGGTTACAATCCCATGGATCATTTTATAATATTTTTTTTAAAACTCTGTTGGTGTGCGGGGGAGAAATTCGATACTTTCATTTGTCAAAGGCAGCACAAGACACGCCTCAGAATGAATTTGACAAAGAATAAACCTTCTTAGGAACATGTGTATCGGGGTTAGGAAACATGGTGTGTACAAATTTACGTGGATGACAATATCTTTAAATCTCATGATATTACAGTTATGAAAAATAGATGCTATATTCTCATTTTACCACTTTAAAAAATGAATGACGTTCACAAGACGTAAGTAAATTTTCATAATTATACCCATGAATATCAAAACCCATTCATTTTACAAAAGCAAAAAAGTATAAATTATTTAAAACTTTCTTAGATACTTAGATATATGGATAGATGGATAAATGGAAAGATGGATGGATGGATAGATAGATGGATAGATTAGGTTATTCATTTTGAAATATTCCTTTTAGGGGCGGGGGCCCTAAGTAATTTTTCTTATCGGAGCTTTACATATAGAATAAGAAAATAATATAAAAATAGAGCTATTGCATGGGTTGATGGAATTGAATAAAATATAAGCGACATTTCAGTTTATGTGACATAATTAAGTTTCTGAATTAATTAATACAACCATTTTAAAATTTAGCGTTTGGGGCCGGGGCCCTATTTTTTTAATTTTTATGTGAACAAAAAATATTTTCTTTTTAAAAATTAAAAGAGTGCGTAAGACACAAACACGTTTTCCTTGAGTGGCATTGCAACGAATGTCGGGCTCTCACTAGTATTAAATATTTTGATGTTCCAACCACTTTTAAACTGATTTTTTTATACCATACTTAAATTGAGAGGATTTTATTTTCCGACATGAAAATAGAGCGCACCTAAACGCTGTTGCGTTATTTTAAAAAAAATATATAAATCATTTAGCGTAGTTATATACATAAGAATGAGCTATAGTGACGTAACTCCAAAGATCCGAAAGAATTGAAGTACTTTCGGATTCCTAAGAACAATCAAAATTTTAATATTATTTTACGAAAATCGAATAAATTTTAAGGCGCAAAAATATTTTAAATCCGCTTTTATTGTAGTAAAAGTTAATAATTATTTTTTAAAATTAGAAAATACATTAAAACTATCAACTAATGAACTTTTAAAAGCATTTTATATGTGTTTGAGAGTTATGGAAAAATAAAACAAATTTAAAAAAAAAAACATGATCAAAGACTTACACTGTATTCACATTTATCGGGAAAACGTAAACATCAGACGTGTTTAGTGCGCCTTTTAGTGCGTTGTTAATATTGCGAAATAAAATTAAAATAATTTATTCGAATTAATCACGCAAATGAGGTCATAGCACGAAAAGCCCATTTCGCCAAGACTCTTAGGTTTCTTTAAATTTAATAGCCGCGCGTGACAAAGTGATAATGTATTTTCCCTTATTAAAAGTAAAATTAATAAATACAATTGATTGCTTTTTAAATTTTTAATAAAACACACACACATTTTAGGTTTGTATATTTTAACTGGATACTGACTTCATAATATCCATCCCGCTGAGGCCGGGGGCCCAGTTTAATTTATTCTAAAATTGGCTCTATAAATATCAATAAACTTAATACTCCTACATCCTTAGATAGATCTTAACCAAACTTAATCCACATACACTATATTATCCATATTCAAATACCAAAGGTTACAGAACTCATAATACCCATTTCTCTGGGGGCCGGGGGCCCATTTCCTTTTTCCTTATATAATCTTTATAAATATCAATAGGCTTAGAGAACACTAAAGTTGCTATGTGAATTGATGAATAGATCGGCCTAGCGTGGTATAAACAGACTTCATTGTCCGTATTAACATATCAGTGGATTTTAAACTAAGAATATCCAATCTAGAATTTTTTAGAAAGTTAGATAATTTTAGAAAAGCTCTATCTATGGCATGTTTGAACCGATTTTAATGGGATACATTTCAATTTTGAACTCAATTATTTACCCGTCTGATACGTATAGAGATCCCTATCTCAGGCATAACTAAATTGGTACAGTTATGGTATGCCCCCCCCCCGGGGCCCCATGATTAACTTAAAAGAAAAAGGATTATAATTATGGTATTTGTTGAGGATTTTTATGGTATTAAATAATAATTGGAAAAGTAGTGTTACACATGTTCCGAGCAGGTTATTAAATTTAATCTAGAATATTCCAGAAAGTTCTAAATTGTTCCACGGGGATATATAGTGGGACCTTAGGGAATATTGAAATGTTACTTAGTGCTATTCATTTCTATACTGCCCCGGAGTTTACTGTTCTCTCAGTAACACTGAGTAATTTTTTTATATAGAATCACAAAGGGGTCGGGATCTTATCATAATCTTTATCCCAACGGGATCAGGATCCCACCAGAAAATAGGTTCCCACTGGGATCAGGATCCCAACCTTGAATGGATCCACCGGGTTAGGGATAACACCGGGAAAGGGGAATGCGCCGGGATCGTTGTTTGGGTTCCAAAGGGATCGGGGTCCCACCAGAATGGGATCCCAATGCTTTCCCAGCAAATGCGGGGTATATTGGCTAGTAGGGAATATTATTTTTCCCGCTAGTTAACTCATTATTAAGCCACACTTTCTTTCAAACATATAAAATTATTTATAATATACTCTAAATACCAAATACGCTGAAAAGGAAGCAGCCAGCTTAATAGGAAGTAGTCGGAAAAGGAAGCAGTCCACGAGTTACACCAGAAGCGTTATATGTATAAGAATATTACCATGACTGGCATGACACACAATCAGATAAACCTAGTCAGAGTTATGGCTGATGAAGGGGATTTCCTTCCTTAAGTGGGGGGGGGGGAGGGATGGTAGAGGCCCCCGGACCAACTAATCCAGTTACATAATCTTGTACTGTTGAATTAATTAAATAGCAGAACGAGGTATGTTGGAACTAGAGTCAATTAAAAGGAAAATAAGATTTGAAAGTTTCGGCACAGAGCCTTCTTCGGCGCACAGGACAAATGGAAATACCATAAGATAACAGAGCGCAGTAAACAACTCAAGAAATATCCATTGTGTTTGCCGGAAGTAAGTTGACAGGGGCGAAAACATCATTGTAAGGTGAGCTGTTTGAAAAGATTGAATCCTAATCCCCTTTCCCTTCATACGTCATGTTTTAATCTTTGTTTGTGTCTGTATTGCTAAGACCCCTTGTAAGCCGGAGTCCAAACTAAACAAGGGAATGGATTAGTTTACAATTTAATCGTGTTGATCATTCTGATGTCCGGGGTCTTCTTTGTTGGGATAAAGTCCATTTTGAGATGGTCAATTGAGAATGTATTGGAATATCTTTGCTCTTGGCTCAAGAAATATTTAATTTATTTCTAGCTGTGTACGCCTATTCCTGGGAATATTTTTTTTGTCAAGGACCATCAGTAGACTTTCATACGTGTTACGTTAATGCGTATTCAAAAAGACACTCGAAATACGTCTACGCAACCTTCTTGAAATTTATAACAAAAATTATTTTTAACAAAAATTTGTTCAGTTTCTTGTTCCACGTTGCATCAAGCCAAAACCAATTATTTTAATTCTTCTCAACGTCGCATTGTCAACAGGAAACAAAGATACTATCACCAAATACTTGTAATTGTATTTGCAAAAATATGTGTAATTTACAATAACAATGCTTACATTTTTTCTAAAATAAAAGCGGAAATATAAACAATTTTTTGCGCATGTAAATTTATTCGATTTCCGAAAAGTTAAAAAATTAACTAATAATTGTTTTTGACAATTCGAACGTATCAAAATATGTTCAGGTTTTTACCTTTATGTCAGCATACATTATTGAAACTGTCAAATGACTTATGCAAACGACATAAATGTCAATGGGCAGCAGATTAAATCCTAAAATCTTAGTATGGCACTCACAGATACGTTCTGGAACCAGCTCCCCTTCCATATACGTCATAGTGAAACCTCGTCCATTTTCAAAAAGTCCCTTAAAACTCATCTGTTTAGGTCCGCCTATGACCTGTGATGCACCCTCCTTGCCATACCTAATTTTCTGTTTCGGTTTAATCCTGAAGTGTCAAAGTGTCCTCTTTTTATAGCCATTTTCATTGTTTCTATAGAATAGTAGTTACTATCCTAGTGTCTCATTTGTTTTTACTTAGTTTACATGTTTTAATAATTGTAAAGCGCTTAGAGCTTTATGATAAGCGCTATATAAAAATGCCTAAATAAATAAATAAATAAATACGCCATGTTTTGCAATTTTATCCAAGCACCAAAAAAGCCCACCCATGAAGCTTGTATGAGACAATCCTCCAAAGTTTCATTCAAATAATTACTTAACATAATACATAAGTTAAAATACAATAATTAAAGTTGAGCAGTTAATAACATATTACACAACCAGTAAGTTCAAACTTTAACGTATAAGATAAGATAAGATAAGACAAGATTCTTTTATTGATCCAAATAAATGGAAATGTTTCTTGATTGCATTATACATTTTCAGCATGCCGGTAAATTCGTACAGATTGGGGAAAAAAAGAATTTTTACGTCGGTCAGTCCTCGCCCTGATGGAAAGAATTCGTCCCGAACGGCACGATCCTAAGTATATGTGATGAAGAGGGTGGGTAGTATCATCCAAAATGTATTTAGTTTTGCAAAAACATCTTTCTTCAAATAGTTCTTCAAGTGAAGGATGTTGAGTTTGTGATATATTTCTAGCTTTCTTGATTAGTCGGTTTATGCAGTGTTTAATATCAGACGTTGAATTCCCACACCAGCAGGTAATACTGAAATTAATCAGGCTTCCAATAGTTGCATTGCAGAATAAGTTAACGACTTGTTTGTTTACGCCGAAATTGTACAGTTTTTTGAGGTAGAACAGTCTTTGGTTGAATTCCTTATACATAATTTGGCCGTGCTCATGCCATGTTAGCTTATTATTAATGGTGACACCTAAGTACTTGTACGCCTCCACTTTGCCCACATTTTGATTTTTTATGTTCAAATCTGTAATCTGGTGTTTCCCCCTCCTGAAATCAACAAACATTTCTTTTGTTTTTGAGACATTCAACTGGAGAAAATTTTCATCGCACCAATTGATAAAGCTTGTAACTAAGTTGCGGTATATGCCTTCTCCTTCAGATATTAAGCCAACAATGGTGGTATCATCAGCAATTTTATTTTAAGATTGGAACGGTGTTGCCTGAGCTTTGAATATAATTTGTATATATTGTATACAGTACAGGGGAGAGAATGCAGCCTTGTGGTGCCCCAATGCTTATTTATCTGGTTAGAGATAATTGGTTATTTACTTTGACATATGGTGGTCGAGTGGTTAAAAAGTTCAGTATCCAAGACTGAATATTTAAATTGTAACCTAAAGAGGAAAGTTTCTTTATCATAAGGTGTGGTTGGTTGGTGTTAAATGCTGATGAGAAGTCTAAGAAAAGCACTCTGGCCTATGTTTTAGGACTGTCTAGGTGATGGTAAAGTTTCTTCAACAATAGTAAGATTCCCTTCTCAGTACTTCTTGCAGGTTTATAAACAAATTGGTGGGGGGTCAAGTTTTTGCTGTACTTCATTCAAAATTTATTTCAGAATTATTTTTTCAAACCATTTCATGACAATAGAGGTAAGTGCAACAGTTCGTAAGTCGTTGTTGCACGTTACCTTAATTTTCTTTGGAATTGGTTTGATTTCTTAAGTTTTCCCTATTGTGTGAGTTACATAAGATTTATTAAATATGTAACAAAAAATTTAGGAGAGCTGCTCTGAAAATAGTTTAATGAGCCGACCACTTCATTTGTCTGGTCCCGAGGCCTTGGTTGCGTCCATTTGTTTAAATAATGACATCACTCTCTGTTCGGTAAACAATAAACTACCATCCTATGTACATTTCATACATTATAGTTATTTTATTTTATATTAATATTCTAATGCTCATCTACTTTTTCACCACTCGATTATTTCACTAACAATTTCAGAACAAACGAAAATATCACGCACCAAGAACGCATTTTTGGGGGGTTTTAGAATCTCATTTAGCGCCAGTTTTCGGGAATTTTATCTCGTGACATCAAAGGTATTACATTTCTTTCACTTTTTCATTTGAAAACAGCAAAAACTGATTTTCATATTTGTAGTTCAGGGTTGGGGCTAAAAATATAATACGGTGTGTTGTCACTTGCAAAACATCTATGTGCAAAGTGGATCAAAGAGACGTCCGAGAATGTGATCCACCACCCAACCACGAACCAAATCTTTAAAACAAAACAGGAACTAAACGAAGATGAAATAAAAGATTTAAAAAGTTAATTGCAAGTAATTAAAGAACACCTAAAACAAACTTATTCATATAATTGCTTTTTAAAATGTACTATCGAGCAGTGGGGGTTGGCCTGAAAATTTGAGAAAACATGCACGCAAGTAAGGCAATTTTTAAGAATTTTTTCACGCCCTTTCATCATAGTGATATTCTAATGACCCTCCAGATTTTACACCACATAATTTAACTAACCAACAATTTGATAAATGTTTTTTTTAAATATAATTCCCCAAAAACAGTTGAAATATTTTTTTTTAAGAATCTCACTTAGCGCAGTTATAAGGAATTGTATACCTTAGAATTAAAGGCATCATATTTCCATCATCTTCCCCTAAAAAAAGGTGGAAATATTATGTTGGGGGTGTGGTTGGGGCTGCAACTTTGAAACAAAATGTTGACTACAGCAGCGGGTCTATGTGCCCATATCAGCTTGATAGGTTGACGGAAAATGGGTGCATTAGCCATCCAAATATTTTTTTAAGCTCATGTCAAACAAACATTTATTAAAGTTAATATATAGGATTTAATAACTAAATGACCATTAAAAACTTAGTTTTCGTGTAACTCCTTTATAATATTAATATCAAGCAATGGGGGTGAGTGGGGGTGATAAGTTGACAAAATATGCATTAAACCAACACACTAAATAAAGATGCCAATTAGTACGCCTTAGTCAATGTTCCCAGTCAATGGTCTAAATCATTGGTCCAAGTCAATGTCCCATGTCAATGATCCCAGTCAATGGTCTCAGTCAATGGCGCCAGTCAATAGTCCCAGTCAACAATCTCATTCAATGGTCCCATTCAATGGTCCGACTCAATGGTCTCAGTAAATGTTCCCAGTACATGGAGTCAGTTAATGGTAAATCTCCCATTCAATGGCCTAAGTCAAACGTTCCAGTCATTGATCCCAACGGTCCCAGTCAATGGTTTCCGTCAATGGTCTCAATCAATGGTCCCAGTCTCAATGTCCAAGTCAAGGGTCCCTTTCAATGGTCTGAGTCAAACGTTCCAGCCATTGATCCCAATGGTCCCAGTCAATGGTCTCAGTCAATGGTTTCCGTCAATGGTCTCAATCAATGGTTCCAGTCTCAATGTCCAAGTCAAGGGTCCCTTTCAATGGTTCCGTCAAAAACTTTGGCTATTTTTGACGTTTGTGTACACTTCGTAAAACCAATCGCAAAGCTTGGAAGTTTTCTCTAGGAGTATAAGAGGGTAACCAAAGCAATGGATACCACAACATAAGGAACTATGAGGTACTGTTCTGTGTCTTAACATACACCTGTAATGTTCTGTGTCTAAATATACACCTGTACTGTTCTGTGTCTTAACATACACCTGTACTGTTCTGTGTCTAAATATACATCTGTACTGGTCTGTGTCTATACACACACCTGTACTGTTCTGTGTCTAAATATACACCTGTACTGTTCTGTGTCTATACATACACCTGCACTGTTCTGTGTCTATACATACACCTGTAATGTTCAGTGTCTTAACATACACCTGTACTGTTCTGTGTCTAAACATACACCTGTACTGTTCTGTGTCTCAACATACACCTGTACTGTTCGGTGTCTAAATATACACCTACTGTTCTGTGTCTTAACATACACCTGTACTTTTCTGTGTCTAAATATACACCTGTACTGTTCTGTGTCTTAACAGACACCTGTACTATTCTGTGTCTAAATATACACCTGTACTGTTCTGTGTCTAAATATACACTTGTACTTTTCTGTGTCTTAACATACACCTGTACTGTTCTGTGTCTTAATATACACCTGTACTGTTCTGTGTCTATACATACACCTGTACTGTTCTATGTCTATACATACACCTGTACTGTTCTGTATCTATGCATACACCTGTACTGTTCTGTGTCTATACATACACCTGTACTGTTCTGTGTCTAAATATACACTTGTACTTTTCTGTGTCTTAACATACACCTGTACTGTTCTGTGTCTTAATATACACCTGTACTGTTCTTTGTCTTTACATACACCTGTACTGTTCTGTGTCTATACATACACCTGTACTTTTCTGTGTCTATACATACACCTGTACTGTTCTGTGTCTATACATACACCTGTACTGTTCTGTGTCAAAATATACACCTGTACTGTTATGTGTCTATACATACACCTGTACTTTTCTGTGTCTAAATATACACTTGTACTTTTCAGCGTCTTAACATACACCTGTACTGTTCTGTGTCTAAATATACACCTGTGCTATTCTGTGTCTACATACACACCTGTACTGTTCTGTGTCTATACATACACCTGTACTGTTCTGTGTCTAAATATACACCTGTACTGTTCTGTGTCTTAGCATAGACCTGTACTGTTCTGTCTTAACATACACCTGTAGTGTTCTGTGTCTAAATATACACCTGTACTGTTCTGTGTCTTAACATAGACCTGTACTTTTCTGTCTTAACATACACCTGTACTTTTCTGTGTCTAAATATACACCTGTACTGTTCTTTGTCTAAATATACACCTGTACTGTTCTGTGTCTTAACATACACCTTTACTGTTCTGTGTCTATACATACACCTGTACCGTTCTGCTGAACACAGGCAAATTCTAGTGTTTGAGCATAAATTAAAGTCTGCCATACAACAGTGGTTTAGCTAGAGTTGGTGTCACCCGGTGCGGTAAAATCAAGGTGTCCCCTCCCCCCCCCCCGACTTTCACGATGGGTTTCTTGTTGTTAAAATCAGTTTACAGTATAACAATGACAAGAAAACAAACAAATGAATTGAAGGTCAGGAGGTAAATGTATATGAGAACTGTAACAACGTTAAATTATTTTTATTTTATGAAATTTATTCTATTTTAAAATTTTCCTTTCCTGGTTTTCAAAGCTGCAAACCTGTCAATCCCTTTCACCGTATCGCTTTCAATTGATAGTAGATCCAGATCAGAGAGCTTGAGTGTCCCATGATGGTTTATAAGTAGTTGTTGATAAGACTTATTTTTGAAAAGCTCCGCTCACATGAAACCACAGATAGACAGATCGTTAGAATCATTTGAAGGCTTGGCGAGAGTATTGGAAGAGATTCCAATTTAGCTATGAATTTCAAAACGTCAAACATTCACCAGCCCATGACTTTGTGAAATTTAACATGAGCTGCCTTTAGGTGTCTTCTAAGCCTTGGTATTTCTTTTAAAAGTCCATCTTCTGATAACTCATCATAGAAAGAGGTTAATCTTGGAACGGACACCAATAGCTCTTCTTCACTTGCTGATGGTAGACTCTAGGGTTGAACTCCCCAAATATATCTGCTACTTCATTGATCTCTGATGATCTGATCTGGAGTTCAGAATGAAAGCAATCAATACACTCCAGCATCTCCCTACAGTTTTCTTCTCACAGAGAATTTTCCGTCGACGAAATTTCATTCAAACAAATTTCAGGATATGATTTTCAACCTACAGAAAATTTGAAGGCTGCGATGTGCTACACAATGAGCATCTCAAGGAAAAAAACATCAACCTATATGTACTCTCTAAACAAGAACATTCCCCAATGAGTATGAAAAAATCCATACCTTGGAATTCTCTTCTCAAATAACCTAAAATGGTCACCCCCATATAAACACAATTTCAAAAAAAAGCCAGCTCCACACTTGGTTTCATTCGAAGAAATCTGCGCCACTGCCAAACATGTTGCAGACGAAATGCCTATTTCGCACTCGTCCGTCCAAAACTAGAATATGGTGCGATCATCTGGGACCCATACCTAAAGCAAGACGTGGACAAGATGGAGCGAATGCGACGTAACACAGGGCGCTTCATCGCAAGTAACAACAAATCCACCACTTCTGGTTTCGTCACTGACCCCTTAAAGGCAGACGAGAAAAGCTCTGTCTAATATTCCTATATAAAGTGGTCAAGTGGCTAGTGCCGGCCACTTCTGCTAATACCTATCTCACCCCGCAGAAGGCAGCTCGCTCAATCAGAGTCAAATGTGCCATAAACACTGACTTCACCTCTGACAACTTCATGAGCAGTTACATCCGGAACAATGATAAATGCTTCACTGTGCCTCGGTGTAACACAGTCCAATATAAACAATCATTCTTCCCACGAACCATAATTGCTTGGAACCAACTGGACAATGCCACTGTGGGTAACTCGACATCAATCGAGAGTTTCAAGGCTGGCCTGGCACCCGCTAGGAGCGGTTAGGATAGCCGCATAGTTTCCCAAACCGTTGCACATATGCCAGGACTTGGTTGCACCAACGTAGCCTATCAGAATCAGAATCAGATTAAAAGCTCCCATCTCACTGTCGTTTTGTTAGACGTAGGACAAACACTGCTACAAGCGAGGGCTTATTTCTACCCTTCGTTATTTTGAAAAGAAGACTACGGCCACGGTTGTTTAGAATTTGGGTAACAACCGGTGTGCGACACTGAAGTACACCACGTTACCTAGGTGAAACTTTCATAATGACCCTGTCATTAATAAATATTATGTTATTTTCAATTGTTTTTTAAAAGGCGAGACTACTTATTAAATATTGTCAATGTTTATGAAAGGGTTATCTCCTAGGATTGACTTGATCAACGAAATTAACTAACACACATATTCTGGTGAGGGTCTGAGATGACTCTCTTCAGACCCCGGCTAGTTAATTGGCTACCAGCTCCATCTGTTGAGCTGTACAACATTTTCCTCACAAAAGGTCCTCCAACCACCCTGGCTTCCCCCGGAAACATCTAGTGAGGGACATTCGGTCAACACGTGCGCAGGTGTCTCCGGGACCAGGCTTCAATGCCGGCAGGTAGGAACCCTGTTGTTATCCATTTGCCAGAAAAATGTGCCAATGGGGCAGTGCTTGGTGCGCATTTGCGTCACTAAGCTCTACTGTCTGCGGCCTAACACCCACCATTGGTCTTGTTTGCTAGGAGTGGGCAAGTTTGAAAAGACGCCTCTGGTGGTCGTGCTGTCTGCCCATTGCCTGTACCACTTCGTCCTGAAATGGTCCACCAGCCAGTTCTTAATTCCCTAATAAGATAATGTTACCTCTGGCTGAGGCTGGGCAGCCCCGGTTTTCGCCAGTGTGTCCGCTTTCTCATTGCCACTGACGTTGACATGACCTGAGATCCTCTGCACTGTGACCTTGCCTCCTAGTTCGCTGATTTTGCACACGTCTAAGAATAGAGCTCTATGCCTTCTTGCGCCCGCACACAGACTTGTGTCAATTTTTTTTGAAAGATTGAGCTTTGTTGGTTGCCTGGGAGCAGAGGTCTTGTACAAAATTATGCATTTGCAGTTTTTGATCTAATTTGACTCCCATGTAAACCGGTTGCTTGTCCCATTTGAGCGCTAAATCGCCCACCTTCAGCTCAATCTCTTGTTTGAAAATGGTCCGCCCGTTGGTAAAGAGTGAATAGACCGTCGTCTCGGTGTTGATTTCCTGGTGCCACCACCGCATGTACCTGTTGATAGCAGAGAGGTCTTGCTGTAATAGCGTTTGCAGGCGGTGGATATCCTTAACGGTGCTCCAGGTGATCAAATCATCGACATACATAGCGGCACTAGATGCTAAAGTAAGTGGCAAGTCATTGATGTAGCCTAGGAAAATAGTGCAACTGAGGGATGACCCTTGCGGGATCCATTCTTCAAGGGTTCTTTCCTGGAGGTTTCGCTGCCGAATTTTGTGTTGATTGTCGGGTTTGTTTGAAAACCGAAAACCCAACTGTACATATTTGCCGTTACTCTCAACTTTTGCAACTTCAGCAATAGACTAGACCTCCAAACTCGGTCATAGGCTTGTCGGAGGTAAAAAAATACAGCCACCGTACGCGACTTTTTGTGGAGCCCAACGGAACTCTATTTATTAATTCCCTTTGAAAATCATCAATAAAGAAATTAAATCAATACATATTATTGTAGATAATTACTTTTTAAATTAACTTGTATGTCTTTCAGTAACCATGAGAATTCAAATTCGTTAATTTGATATAGAAGGATTGTGACAAGGTTGTAAGAAGGTTGTAAGACGGTTGTAAGACGGTTGCAAAAAGGTTGTAAGAAGGATGTAAGAAGGCTGTAAGACGGTGGTAAGACGATTGTAAGAAGGTGGTAAGAAGGTTGTAAAACGGTTGTAAGAAGGTTGTCAGAAGGTTGTAAGACGGTTGTAAGACGATTGTAAGAAGGTTGTAAGAAGGTTGTAAGATGGTTGTAAGAAGGTTGTAAGAAGGTTGTAAAAAAGTTGTAAGACGTTGTTAGACAGTTGTAAGAAGGTTGTAAGACGGTTGTAAGAAGGATGTAAGACGGTTGTAAAAAAGTTGTAATACTATTGTAAGGAGATTGTTAAATTTTGTAAGACGGTTGTAAGAAGGTTGTAAGACGGTTCTAAGAAGGTTTTAAGACGGTTTTAAGAAGGTTGTAAGACGGTTGTAAGAAGGTTGTAAGACGGTTGTAAGATGGTTGTAAGAAGGTTGTAAGATGGTTGTAAGAAGGTTGTAAGATGGTTGTAAGAAGGTTGTTAGAGAGTTGTAAGAAGGTTGTAAGATGGTTCTAGAAGAGTGTAAGACGGTTGTAAGAAGGTTGTAAGAAGGTTGTAAGAAAGTTGTAAGACGGTTGTAAGACGGTTGTAAGAAGGTTGTAAGAAGGTTGTAAGACGGTTGTAAGAAGGTTGTAGAAGATGGTAAGATGGTTGTAAGATGGTTGTAAGAAGGTTGTAAGACGGTTGTAAGAAGGTTGTAAGACGGTTGTAAGAAGGTTGTAGAAGATTGTAAGACGGTTGTGAGAAGGTTGTAAGACGGTTGTAAGAAGATTGTAGAAGATTGTAAGACGGTTGTAAGAAGGTTGGAAGACGGTTGGAAGACGGTTGTAAGAAGGTTGTAAGCAGGTTGGAAGACTGTTGTAAGAAGGTTATAAGACGGTTGTAAGAAGGTTTTAAGACGGTTGTAGAAGATTGTAAGACGGTTGTAAGAAAGTTGTAAGCAGGTTGTAAGACGGTTGTAAGAAGGTTGTAAGACGGTTGTAAGAAGGTTGTAGAAGATTGTAAGACGGTTGTAAGAAGGTTGTAAGAAGGTTGTAGAAGATTGTAAGACGGTTGTAAGAAGGTTGTAAGACGGTTGTAAAAAGGTTGTAAGACGGTTGTAAAACGGTTGTACAAGATTGTAAGACGGTTGTAAGAAGGTTGTAAGACGGTTGTAGAAGATTGTAAGACGGTTGTAAAAAGGTTGTAAGAAGGTTGTAGAAGATTGTAAGACGGTTGTAAGAAGGTTGTAAGAAGGTTGTAGAAGATTGTAAGACGGTTGTAAGAAGGTTGTAAGACGGTTGTAAGAAGGTTGTAAGACGGTTGTAAAACGGTTGTACAAGATTGTAAGACGGTTGTAAGAAGGTTGTAAGACGGTTGTAGAAGATTGTAAGACGGTTGTAAAAAGGTTGTAAGAAGTTTGTAGAAGATTGTAAGACGGTTGTAAGAAGGTTGTAAGCAGGTTGGAAGACTGTTGTAAGAAGTTATAAGACGGTTGTAAGAAGGTTTTAAGACGGTTGTAGAAGATTGTAAGACGGTTGTAAGAAAATTGTAAGACGGTTGTAAGAAGGTTGTAAGCAGGTTGTAAGCAGGTTGTAAGACGGTTGTAAGAAGGTTGTAAGACGGTTGTAAGAAGGTTGTAGAAGATTGTAAGACGGTTGTAAGAAGGTTGTAAGAAGGTTGTAGAAGATTGTAAGACGGTTGTAAGAAGGTTGTAAGACGGTTGTAAGAAGGTTGTAAGCAGGTTGGAAGACTGTTGTAAGAAGGTTATAAGACGGTTGTAAGAAGGTTTTAAGACGGTTGTAGAAGATTGTAAGACGGTTGTAAGAAAGTTGTAAGACGGTTGTAAGAAGGTTGTAAGCAGGTTGTAAGACGGTTGTAAGAAGGTTGTAAGACGGTTGGAAGAAGGTTGGAAGACGGTAGGAAGACGGTTGTAAGAAGGTTGTAAGCAGGTTGGAAGACTATTGTAAGAAGGTTGTAAGACGGTTGTAAGAAGGTTTTAAGACGGTTTTAAGAAGGTTGTAAGACGGTTGTAAGAACGTTGTAAGATGGTTGTAAGAAGGTTGTAAGATGGTTGTAAGAAGGTTGTTAGAGAGTTGTAAGAAGGTTGTAAGATGGTTCTAGAAGAGTGTAAGACGGTTGTAAGAAGGTTGTAAGAAGGTTGTAAGAAGGTTGTAAGACGGTTGTAAGATGGTTGTAAGAAGGTTGTAAGATGGTTGTAAGAAGGTTGTAAGATGGTTGTAAGAAGGTTGTAAGAAGGTTGTTAGAAGGTTGTAAGACGGTTGTAAGACGGTTGTAAGAAGGTTGTAAGACGGTTGTAAGAAGGTTGTAGAAGATGGTAAGACGGTTGTAAGATGGTTGTAAGAAGGTTGTAAGACGGTTCTAAGAAGGTTGTAAGACGGTTGTAAGAAGGTTGTAGAAGATTGTAAGACGGTTGTAAGAAGGTTGTAAGACGGTTGTAAGAAGGTTGTAGAAGATTGTAAGACGGTTGTAAGAAGGTTTGAAGTCGGTTGGAAGACAGTTGTAAGAAGGTTGTAAGCAGGTTGGAAGACTGTTGTAAGAAGGTTGTAAGACGGTTGTAAGAAGGTTTTAAGATGGTTGTAGAAGATTGTAAGACGGTTGTAAGAAAGTTGTAAGACGGTTGAAAGAAGGTTGTAAGCAGGTTTTAAGACGGTTGTAAGAAGGTTGTAAGACGGTTGTAAGAAGGTTGTAGAAGATTGTAAGACGGTTGTAAGAAGGTTGTAAGAAGGTTGTAGAAGATTGTAAGACGGTTGTAAGAAGGTTGTAAGACAGTTGTATGAAGGTTGTAAGACGGTTGTAAAACGGTTGTACAAGATTGTAAGACGGTTGTAAAAAGGTTGTAAGACGGTTGTAGAAGATTGTAAGACGTTTGTAAAAAGGTTTTAAAAAGGTTGTAGAAGATTGTAAGACGGTTGTAAGAAGGTTGTAGAAGATTGTAAGACGGTTGCAAGAAGGTTGTAAGACGGTTGTAAGAAGGTTGTAAGACGGTTGTAAGAAGGTTATAGAAGATTGTAAGACGGTTGTAAGAAGGTTGTAGAAGATTATAAGACGGTTGTAAGAAGGTTGTAAGACGGTTGTAAGAAGTTTGTAAGACGGTTGTAAGACGGTTGTAAGAAGTTTGTAAGACGGTTGTAAGACGCTTGTAAGAAGGTTGTAAGACGGTTGTAAGACGGTTGTAAGAAGTTTGTAAGATGGTTCTAGAAGAGTGTAAGACGGTTGTAAGAAGGTTGTAGAAAATTGTAAGACGGTTGTAAGATGGTTGTAAGCAGATTGTAAGACGATTGTAAAAAAGTTGTAAGACGGTTATAAGAAGGTTTTAAGATCTAAGTAAGAAGGTTGTATGAATATTGTAAAAAGGTTGTTCGACGGTTGTTCGACGGTTGTAAGAAAATTGTAAGCGGAACAGGAAGCGATGTCCTTATTTAAACAAGTGGACGCAGCCAAGGCCTCGGGACCAGACAAATTAAGTGGTCGGCTCATTAAACTATCTTCAGAGTAACTCTCTTGCATTTGTGTTACATATTTAATAAATCTTATGTTACTCACACAATACCAGCAACTTGGAAAACTTCATAAATAATACCAATTCCAAAGAAAAATGAGGTAACACGCAACAACGACATACGACCAGTTGCACTTACCTCTATTGTCATGAAATGTTTTGAGAAAATAATTCTAAAAGAAATTTTGAATGAAGTACAGCAAAAACTTGACCCCCTCCAATTTGCTTACAAACCTGCCAGAAGTACGTAGGATGCAATCTTACTATTGTTGGAGAGACTTTACCATTACATAGAAAGTCCTAAAACATATGCCAGAGTGCTTTTCTTAGACTTCTCATCAGCTTTTAACACTTTCCAACCACACCTTATGATAAAGAAACTTTCCTCGTTAGGTGTCAATTTAAATATTCAGGCTTGGATACTGAACTTTTTAACCACTCGACCACAATATGTCAAAGTAAATAACCAAGTATCATCTAACCAGAGAAATAAGCACCGGGGCACCACAAGGCTGCGTTCTCTCTCCTGTACTGTATACAATATATACACATGATTTATTCAAAGCTCAAGTGACGCCGTTCCAATCTTAAAATTTGCTGATGATACCACAATTGTTGGCTTAATATCTGAAGGAGAAGGCCCTTACCGCAACTTAGTTACAAGCTTTATTAATTGGTGCGATGAGAATTTTCTCCAGTTGAATGTCTCAAAAACAAAGGAAATGGTTGTTGATTTCAGGAGGGGGAAACACCAGATTACAGATCTCAACATAACAAATCAAATTGTAGAGAAGGTGGAGACATACAAGTACTTAGGTGTCACCATTAATAATAAGCTAACATCGCATGAGCACAACCAAATGCTGTATAAGAAATTCAACCAAAGACTGTTCTACCTCAAAAAACTGTACAATTTCGGTGTAAACAAACAAGTCGTTAACTTATTCTACAGTGCAACTATTGGAAGCCTCCTTAATTTCAGTATTACCTGCTGGTGTGGGAATTAAACGTCTGATATTAAACACCACATAAACCAACTTATCAAGAAAGCTAGGAACATAACACAAACTAAACATCCTTCACTTGAAGAACTATTTGAAGAAAGGTGTTTTTGTAAAACTAAACACATTTTGGATGATACATCCCACCCTCTTCATCACAGATACTTTGGATCGGGGCGTTCGGGACGAATTCTTTCCATCAGGGCGAGGACTGACAGATATAAAAATTCTTGTGTTCCTCAATCTGTATAAATTTACCGGCGTGCTCCCTCTGAAATCATTCATCTTTATGAGCACTAATAAGTCCCCGATGGCAAAGAGAACACACTGAAAGGCTGTTAGAGATAATTTATTATAAATGTCTTGTCTTCAATTTGTTTTATTTATGTGCTGAAAATGTGTAATGCAATCAAAAAACATTTCCATTTATTTGGATCGATAAAGTAATCTTATCTTATCGTAAGAAGGTTGTAAGAAGGTTATAAGAATGTTGTAAGACGGTTGTAACTGGGAAACTTACAGTTGATGTAACACAAGAAATGGGTGTATTAATGTAAATGGGGAAACTAACAGTTAAATGCATTTATAAAACTAACACTTAAGTATCCAAAAGTTATAAATACTTAAATAAATGCAGATATATTTAGATTTTAGAATAATTATATTGATTCGATTTCCTTAGAATATTAAACAAACTCTGATCATTTTTTAGAAGACTCCGAAAGTATTTGCTCGTTTGTTTTAAACCGGATATGGCCAGTTTAGGACATTCATTTTTTTAAATGTTTTTATAGTTTTACGTCGAGGCCTATGTTGTCAAACATATTTGCTTGTTAAATTTTGCGAGAATTGACCACTGATAAATTATATTTGAAATAGTAGAACAAGTGATGTGGACGCTTGAGTCAGAAGGCAGGACAATAAGATAAGAGCGCTTCGGCTAAGAGCCTTCCTCGGGAGACAGGACAATGAAAATACGACAATAAACTAGATAATATCACAAGTGATCGTCATTGTTATAGGTTATATTTTTATTTGATGTAATCGATTCCTTCCATGAGACTGAATAACAGAACAGAAAACAATGGTTAAGTTATTGGCTTTAAAAAGATCGATCCATTTTTTTGTATCAATGTCAAATTGACAGTTGCGCTGGTTAAGTGGAAAGTATTTATTCTGGTAATGGAGTAAATATCCTTACTTTTTTTCAATCAATGATTGCGGGTATATAAGAATTCCATCACTTTAAACGCTGAAACATTTTCCTGACACTCATCTTTTCTTGGTTGGTGTGCGTCAGCTTCTAGACTCTCCATCTGGATTATCTTCAAGGAAGACATGAACCTTCTGTTGGACTACGCTATATTTTTGGGTATTGAAATAATGATGTTTTAACAAATGTTGTTAGCTCACTACTTTGTAAAGATGGTATTGTAAAAAAATCATGTAGCAATAATAACATATTTCCAAATTGATTCTTATAATAAAAAGTAGGTTATAACTTATGATCAATTTATAAAGGCATATGGAATATATTATTTTTGTTACAATCATTGTAAATGCATCTTTATTTGTGTTTTAAACAGTATCCGATGTTCAGTGTATATCCTATACTTTTATTTATGTGAATGTTGTGCTAAAATTGAAAATGGAACGTTTGATCTTCACCTATTTGAATGTGCGCCTTGGATTCATCGCTAACTTATTTTTGTTATAACCCTAAGGCGAATTTCTTTGATGTTCTGGAGTGCCTTTAAAAATGTTATATTGGCGTCTATCTTACCCTGTCATCAAATAGAAACTCGTTTAAATTAGAACGAGCTATTGGTCAAAAAAGTAAAGAGGGTTAGAAGCGTTAGAAAAATTAAGAAAAACAGGAGGGGGGAGGGGGTTACAAACTCCCAACCACCAAAGTCAAAACCACCACAGCCTATATGGCATGTGAATAAACATCAGCCAACTATAGAAGATAATGTTAGCGTTAAAAGTCAAAAGTCAAGTCCGCTGATGTAACTTTTGAAAGTCAACGAATAAAAACCATAATAAAGTTATGCTTGTTATACATATGTACAGCAATGGCTTGGAATATAATTGTGCTCCATTTATTTATTTTTTAAAACCAGGTTATTTCCTAAAACAACATTACCATATAATTTTAATAAGACTATCATATTGCTTATTATTTTCAGAAGTATTTTTTATAGCGCTTACCAATGGAAGTTCAGCAAGATTTGATAAAATAACGCGACCATCTTGTGGGCCCACACGACTGTCTCCAGGTTGGGTGGATAAGTCAAAACTATCATGTGCAGCCAGGTGTAAGGCTAGGTAAATTAAATATAATACAAGATATAGAGCAATACATCTAACCCATTTTAAACAATCTTAAACAGTTTCAATATTTTAAGGAGATTAGATTGCCTGTACGCTAAGCAAAGTAGAATTTAGCACCTTTTTAAGCCATGTAAAATTTTTTCTAAGTTTATTTTTTCTTGATGCATTATAAATAAACAATCTACAAAAACATGTTTTGTGGTATAAATCCTTTATAAATGTAAAATCGAGCAATGGGGATTGGGCTGTTACTTTGACAAAACATGCATACATGTAACGCACTTATCGAGCAGTGGGGATTGGGCAGTTACTTTGACAAAACATGCATACATGTAACGCACTTATCGAGCAGTGGGGAGTGGGCTGTTACTTTGACAAAACATGCATACATGTAACGCACTTATCGAGCAATGGGGATTGGGCTGTTACTTTGACAAAACATGCATACATGTAACGCACTTATCGAGCAATGGGGATTGGGCTGTTACTTTGACAAAACATGCATACATGTAACGCACTTATCGAGCAGTGGGGATTGGGCTGTTACTTTGACAAAACATGCATACATGTAACGCACTTATCGAGCAATGGGGATTGGGCTGTTACTTTGACAAAACATGCATACATGTAACGCACTTATCGAGCAATGGGGATTGGGCTGTTACTTTGACAAAACATGCATACATGTAACGCACTTATCGAGCAATGGGGATTGGGCTGTTACTTTGACAAAACATGCATACATGTAACGCACTTATAAGAAGATTTATAGTGCTCCCCCCCCCCCATGCTCGCAACCCCATATTTATTTCACGCCCCTGAACTATATTACTAATGTAATGACCCACCCGTATATTTATTATTGAACTAACTATTTCATAAAAGTTAAAGAAAATATAACGCACCAAATGCATTTGCGATATTTTTTTAATTTTTTTTTTGGAAAGAATCTCATTTAGCGCAGGTCTTGGAAAGAATCTCATTTAGCGCAGGTCTCGGGAATTTTCCTTTATGTTCCCCTTGAAAAAAAAAAGAAAGAAAATACTGATTTTTGGGGGGTTGGGGTTGGGTTGTGGGACTGAACATTTGAAAGAATGGGTTCTCATTTGCAACGAGTCTATGTGCCGAGTTTCAGCTCGATAGCTTGACGGGAAGTGGGTCAATGAGACGTCCGCAGATTTTGCCACCCAGGAACAAACAAAAGCGAAGTTGAGATACAGGACTTTTTTTAAAGTGTTCACTTTATTTTAAATAAAAATTGTTGAGTTGACATGTTATAATTAGTCTCTCTTACTGTTCGAACCACTGATGTTTTGCAAATTTAAAATAATCCTCTAATTGTAGTTCAGTTGAATATATTTTAAATCTTGGTCAATGTTATTTGAATAAGAACAATGACTGGCAAGATTTTTTTTAAAAATGTTTGTATTATTTATATTTTTTACCGAAACCTTCAGCTGCATGGGGAGAGAAATATGATTTTTTTCATTAGAATGTTCAATGATCTCCCTTAAATGAATTCATCCTATTTAACATTCTATAATCTAAGACATCCAACAGTTTGTCGTAGTTTCATGTACAACAAAACCACCAAACTGTGTACACCTGGCGGGGACATTAATAGCGCCTACCCATCACCATCTACGGTGGAAGGTGATCTCTACTATCAAGGTTTCAAGTAAGTTATATCATTCGTACTTGAATGGAATAACGCAACTAATGTTATTATGGTTATAATGAAATGGGGTCAATCAAATTTTAAAAAGAATAATATCCCAGATTATTGAAATGTTCCCCCTTATTACAATTAGAATTATATCATTTATAGTCAACCATCAATCAATAGCATTGTCATATTTGCGTCTATCTATCCATTTTCATATTTGATCGGGTGATCATTCCCAACACACCAAAATTTCTTTCGGGATCTTTCGGGAATTCTGAATTTTTCTACTTCAGTAAACAGTGGCACAGCTTAGATTGGTGCCGCAAGGAATATAGAATATGTACAAACCAGTTTTCTTGCATTGTCGGCTCCTCCGTCATTTGAACACTTTTTACAATGAGCTGAGTTAAAATTAGCTATGTGAGTTAATAATAACTATGTTGAGTTAAAATTAGCTATGTGAGTTAATAATAACTATGTTGAGTTAAAATTAGCTATGTGAGTTAATAATAACTATGTTGAGTTAAAATTAGCTATGTGAGTTAATAATAACTATGTTGAGTTAAAATTAGCTATGTGAGTTAATAATAACTATGTTGAGTTAAAATTAGCTATGTGAGTTAATAATAACTATGTTGAGTTAATATTAGCTATGTGAGTTAATAATAACTATGTTGAGTTAATATTAGCTATGTGAGTTAATAATAACTATGTTGAGTTAATATTAGCTATGTGAGTTAATAATAACTATGTTGAGTTAATATTAGCTACTTTGAGTTAAAATTAGCTATGTTAGTTAATATTAGCTATGTTGAATTAATATTAGTTATGTTTTAGTTAAAATTAGCTTTCTAAATCACTGGTAGGCTTCATACTTCCCTTTAGCCGTGAAAGACCGAACACCAACGAAAAAGTCTAGCGGCAGCTTGAACGCTTCGAAAATTAAAACCTAGCCAAACTTGGTGTCCATAAATGTTCAGAATAAAAATTGTCACGTACGACGCTGAGATGGCGCTCTCAGAAGCAAAACTTGAAACTGCTGACCAAGTAGATGTGTTGCTAGCTCAATGTATTGGTATCGCAAGACGCTCTGTGGTGTGTGTGGGGAGCGGGGGAGTCCTTCCTTGGCGTGCAGTATAAAATAATAGTTTCTTTAAAGTCCGATACAACATTAAGAGCTCCTAAGAAGGTTTGCGCTGGAAATGATGTGCAATCAACGTCACTCACCAGTACAATGTCCAACGGTAGTAATGCCCAAAGGGTCAAATGGCACACAGGTAACAATACCAAATGGGTAATAATGCCCGCACAGGTAATTATACCAAAAGGTTAACAATGCCCAAAGGGTCATAATGCACACAGGTAATAATGCCCTAAGGGCAATAATGCCAACAGTTATTAATGCGAAAAAGGTAATAATGCCCAAAGGACAAGAATACCCACAGGTAACAATTTCCAAAGGGTGATAATATCCACAAGGAATAATGCCCACCCGTAATAATATCCATCGGTGATATATCGAACCAGTAGTAATGCCCAAAGGGTAATAATGCCCCCCCCCCACTGGTAGAGCACTTTAAAACATTGTTTATTTCAAATTTAATGTTAAAAAGGTGTCAGATGCTTCTTAAAGAAACCTAAACTGTGTCAGTCTGATAACTCCCCGAGTTTAGAATAAAAGGAGGCTGTTGGTTTGTTCCTTCCTTTTTTTTTTTTTGCTTTTTTTTATTTTTTTTTATTTTTTTTTTTTTTTTTTTTTTTTTTTTTTTTTTTTTTTTTGTGTTTTTTTTTTTTTTTTTTTTTTTTTGTGGGGGGGGGGTTGGGGTGGGGGGTGGGGAGGGGGGTTTGAAGCAAACAAATTGCGTATTGATATGATAAGATTCAAAGCGGATTTGGGCGACTAAGTTTATGTTACATATTTTCCCTTTAAAGTCTCGAAGAGCAGATGCTACAATTGCAAGATCAAAATTCCGCTTTAATGAAAATTTAAATCTATTTTAATTTGAAGTAAATATGGCACTTATCTATCCCTCGAGTTCAGTAATAGTTCAATCAAACAGTTTGACAATAACTCCACCAACGAGATTATTGTAACAGCCATGAAACATCTTATATTAAGACTAAACCTAAAAGGCGACAAAATACGGGGCCACTAAAACTATTTCATTTTTTTTATTATTTTTTTTTTGTAAATAAACTTTAAAAATATTGGAAGGATTTTTAATATCTCTTATGAATTTTTATAATTCCGTCAATAACTTTACGAATGTTAGAAGAGTTTCTACTTTTTAAATGTATTCTTAAATATCCATGCCTTCATATTTTCTAGAGTCGTAAGCTCAGTACAGGCAACAGTAAATGTCGCCTTCTTCTATGGAACGTACAGTTACGCGGATTCTGAGACTAACTGTGAGTGCTTAAATTCTCATCTTTTCGTGATGGATACTTGGAACAAATGGAGTCTCCTGGATGACATTGTAAGACCACGAAGTTATACCTGGATTGGTCTGGACGACAGGACGGTCGAAGGCAAATTTGTGTGGGCAAACACCAGTCGATTTATTGATCCAATTTTAAAACAGCTCATATTTCAAGCTGGTCAACCATATAGCGGAAATAGCGATGCTCAAGACTGTGTAGCAGTTACTGACATTTTACTGCAATTAGATGACATAGAATGTGGGAAACGTATGAGCCACATTTGTGAGAGACCAACCTATCAATGAGGTGTAAAGGGTTTTCAGAAAAAGATCTGCAATAAAGCAAATGTCCTTAAAAACGAATCTTATTTTCATTAAATTAATTGTATTGTTTATTGTAATGGTGGAAATCATTCCAGGAAGTAACCATTGTGTTGTACACCACACCACATCTATTTTTATTCTACTCTTTTGGAAACGTCTACTTTTTTTGCAATAAAATCGACTACAGGCTCTATATTACGTACCGAATCCATGGTTCAACAATTTACTTCGTTTTACATTGGTTCCTTCAACAATTCACTTCATTTAACATTTGCTTGTTCAACAGTTTAGTTCGTTTAACAGTAGCTTGTTCAACAGTTTAGTTTGTTTAACAGTTGTTTGTTCAACAGTTTAGTTCGTTTAACAGTTGTTTGTTCAACAGTTTAGTTCGTTTAACAGTTGTTTGTTCAACAGTTTAGTTCGTTTAACAGTTGCTTGTTCAACAGTTTAGTTCGTTTAACAGTTGCTTGTTCAACAGTTTAGTTCGTTTAACAGTTGCTTGTTCAACAGTTTAGTTCGTTTAACAGTTGCTTGTTCAACAGTTTAGTTCGTTGCACATTGGCTCGTTCACACAATGTAACGTTGAAAAATTTAAAGCTCAACAAAGTTTAAGCCAATGCATAATAATAATAATAATAATCTCTTATGCGACTATTCTTAACACCCAATGGACACCATAAAATAAACTAAGTCTAGCCTCTAGTGCAGCGTTCCCCAAACGGTGGTCAATGGAACGGCACTGGTCTGAGAGTCCTACGTCACCGGGCCTCACAACAAAAATATTCATGATTATATAAAAAAATAGTTATTAAATCCGGCACTGCTCCCTGACCCGAGTCCAAAAGTGTCCACCGGTCCGACAAACTGAAAAGTTTGGGAAACACTGCTCTATTCCATTGCAAAGATGAAGATTATTTTAGTACATAAGAGTGATAGTAAAAGAGATGAACATTGACCAGCTCCCTCGTGCGTGCGTCACGCGAACTCCAACCCAAGTTTTAGTCTGTCTGGAACAGGGGTCAGTGAGCTGGGGGTTAAATGAACGTAAAATGGGGTAAAAAAGAAAATCGTGGTGAAATGGGGGCTCATTAGAAATTCATAAAATTATATAAAGAGATCGTCTCTTGCAACGGCATGAATTATTGTTTTGACAACATGGCATCTGCCCAGTGTAATAGACAAAGACATCGACCAGGTTAGACTTAGTAGTGGCTCTGCATCTGGTCAGTGTAATAGAGAAAGACACCAACCAGGTTAGACTTAGCAGTGGCTCTGTATCTGGTCAGTGTAATAGAGAAAGACACCAACCAGGTTAGACTTAGTAGTGGCTCTGCATCTGGTCAGTGTAATAGAGAAAGACACCAACCAGGATAGACTTAGTAGTGGCTCTGCATCTGGTCAGTGTAATGGAGAAAGACACCAACCAGGTTAGACTTAGTAGTGGCTCTGCATCTGGTCAGTGTAATAGACAAAGACATCGACCAGGTTAGACTTAGTAGTGGCTCTGCATCTGGTCAGTGTAATAGACAAAGACATCGACAAGACTTAGTAGTGGCTCTGCATCTGGTCAGTGTAATAGAGAAAGACACCAACCAGGTTAGACTTAGTAGTGGCTCTGCATCTGGTCAGTGTAATAGAGAAAGACATCGACCAGGTTAGACTTAGTAGTGGCTCTGCATCTGATCAGTGTAATAGAGAAAGACACCAACCAGGTTAGACTTAGTAGTGGCTCTGCATCTGGTCAGTGTAATAGAGAAAGACATCGACCAGACTTAGTAGTGGCTCTGCATCTGGTCAGTGTAATAGAGAAAGACATCGACCAGACTTAGTAGTGGCTCTGCATCTGGTCAGTGTAATAGAGAAAGACATCGACCAGACTTAGTAGTGGCTCTGTATCTGATCAGTGTAATCTAGAAAGACATCGACCAGGTTAGACTTAGTAGTTGCTCGGCAGCTGGCAAAATTCTTTTATCTCATACTCAAAGAAAATAAGAGCCTCAAAGACTTTCATTAAAAAGTTTAAAAGTCGCACACGAGCTGACGGTCCAAAAGTCAAACAACCAACATCAGCAGACATTAAATGTTCCACTCTAATGAACAAACAACCTACATCAGCAGACATTACATGTTCCACTCTAATGAACAAATAAACAACCTACATTAGCAGACATTACATGTTCCACTCTAATGAACAAACTACCTACATCAGCAGACATTACATGTTCCACTCTAATGAACAAAGAAACAACCTACATCAGCAGACATTACATGTTCCACTCTAATGAACAAATAAACAACCTACATCAGCAGACATTACATGTTCCACTCTAATGAACAAATAAACAACCTACATTAGCAGACATTACATGTTCCACTCTAATGAACAAACAAACAACCTACATCAGCTGACATTACATGTTCCACTCTAATGAACAAACAAACAACCTACATCAGCAGACATTACATGTTCCACTCTAATGAACAAACAAACAACCTACATCAGCAGACATTACATGTTCCACTCTAATGAACAAACAAACAACCTACATCAGCAGACATTACATGTTCCACTCTAATGAACAAACAAACAACCTACATCAGCAGACATTACATGTTCCACTCTAATGAACAAACAAACAACCTACATCAGCAGACATTACATGTTCCACTCTAATGAACAAATAAACAAAAACCAAGATCTCGATTGCATGCGCCATCCAAATGACCGTGACGTCACAAGGCCCACATTTTGATGGTTTTGTATGAAAAAAAATAACACAACATAATGTATCCGAAATCTTCATGGACATGTTGACAATGAAAACCGTGTTTTTCTTATAGTTTTTTTATTAGTTTAATTTTCGCGTTTATTTTACACTTTTAAATTTATTATTGGGTTTTTTTTGTGTGGTATAAATAGATAAAATAAAGCAATTCAAAATGGTGCGGGGCTGTAGGTGGGGCAAGTGTCACATATTATATAAACTATTTATATAGACTACTTATATAGACTATTTATATAGACTACTTATATAGACTATTTATATAGACTACTTATATAGACTATTTATATAGACTACTTATATAGACTATTTATATAGACTACTTATATAGACTACTTATATAGACTACTTATATAGACTACTTATATGGACACATTTATAGACTACTTGGCTTGTGTACAAAACCAAATAATGTTCATGAATGATAATTAAGGATTTTAAAAAACTCAAACTATTATAAATGTGTGTTTATTAGATTGTTCAAATTATATCCTGACTCATAAAGTACAAGCTTTTTCGGGTAAAAGTCTCGTCAGTTAAATATTTTTCTAAGAAATTTCAATACTTTCAAAATAGTTCCTGGATTTTCCACCTCGTACTTTACCGATATAACGTCATTCCACATTTACCTTCTGTTAAGTTCTCAAATGTTATTATACCGACTTATTCTCGAAAGGTGTACGGCCTTGCCAATGTTATATTATAGACGTGCCCCTGGAAGGTGTTCGCCCCTGCTTTGTATCGGGTGAACTGAACAAAATGTTGAGAACTCACCTCGCCTTTTGTTCACACCATTTTATTGACGTGACTTCTTTTTTGAACAGTGGATCACAATAGCCACGCACTTCACATGTGCAGCATTCTAAACAGCATGTCAAACACGTCATCTGTTCTGATGGAGTTGGAGTAAACTCTCATTTGTTTTAGGGAGAGGAGCCGTCCATCAATCCAGTCAATAAAATAGTGTGGGGGGGGGGGCGTATGGAGGCCGGGCGTTGATAAAGTTGGGACATATGTTGACAGGGGATTGGGTCGAAATAACTTTGACAGTGCTACTGTCCGATAAAATAGGTTAAACACATTTTTAAGTTGTAAATTTTAATTGCTATCAATAGTAATGGTATAAATTAAGCTGGTCAAAGGAGAAAAGGACAACATGATCTAAGGCCACAGGAAAAATAACCAGATTGACCTCAACAATTAAATTTTTTAACGACATATACATACTACTATATCATTTATCATATGCCTATCAGTCTGTGCAATCAGTGCTTTTTGGGCCTGCCTAAGACATTTTCTCACCGTTAAGAAACAAACTGGACGACCATTTCCTGTGTATTTATTTGTGTTCACTTACATGAGCAGTTGACTAGATTTTCTGACACAACTCGAATATTGATTGTAAACCAGTCCTTACCCTATTTTCTTTTCTTCCAAATTCACCAAACTTCTCATTGTAGCTTGAAACTATGTTTTTTGTGAACTGAAAACTACTCTGGCACAAATACTGGGGTAAAGAGGTCTGGTATAGTGGCATGTGTTTATATAGACTTGATTACATGCCTTACTATAGACGTGTGTAGGTGACATGTGTTGAACACGACCATGAGTTTGTCAAGTTTGTGGACATGACATTGATTCGTGGTTATGAAAACAGGCATAACGATATCGTCAAGAAATACTTGCACTCGAAGACGAGTGGAAAAGTCAGATGGTAGTGAACGTCTCCCTTCCCACCACCCCAACCCCCACGGGTGTGACAAGCAAATCAGCGTCGGTGAATGTGTCAAAAAGCCAGCCCTTATGTCTGTGTTTACTCGTCTATAAGTTAGGTCATAATGTCTGTGTTTACTCGTCTATCAACTACACCATTATGTCTGTGTTTACTCGTCTATCAAATAGGACATTATGTCTGTGTTTACTCGTCTATCAAATAGTGCATTATGTCTGTGTTTACTAGTCTATCTAATAGGACATTACGTCTGTCTTTATTCCTCTATCACCTAGGACATTTCGTTTGTGTTTACTCGTCTATCAAATAGGAAATAACGTCTGTCTTTACTCGTCTATCAACTATAATATTTTTTCAGTGTTTACTCGTCTATCAACTAGGGCATTATAACTGTGTTTACTCGTCTATCAACTAGGGCATTATTACTGTGTTTACTCGTCTATCAACTAGAATATGTTTTCAGTGTTTACTCGTCTATCAACTAGGCCATTATGTCTGTGTTTACTTGTCG